CAAACTTGCATTCGATTAGATAGTAGTTCAAAGCGAAGTAATAATACACTTAGGGATCCCTCGGATTATGACCGAGCCACTTTACTACAACCCTAGCTAGCTTATACTTGGGAGATAGCATGAGCACCTTTTATTCCAAAGTAATGCACTCAACAACGACCATTATATGGAGACATACCAAGACCTTTCAGTTTATCTCAGAAGTCGTAACATTGATCGCAATAGAAGGGTAGTGTACAGAGGACTTTAGACTCATTCTCGACAGATGTCTCCACCGATATATCGTGCACAATCTCAACCTCGACAAATATCTCCACCAATATATTGTGCACCATCTTACTCTCAACATCATTCTAGTTCCTTTCCATAGCCTTTGTCATGTTTTGTCGCTACTCCAGGTCTTGTCAAGACTCAACAGTCCCGAGCCTCCTTACGAGGAACATATGGTTCTGAATTTGATGTTGTAACTCCATGGATAAAAAATTGGCGTTCATCCTCATCTCTCTCTTCTTAATGCTCGTCTGGTTCACTAGGCACCAAGGTTGTCAACCCGTGGGTCGACCCACGGGTTGACCCCGGTTGGCCCGAACCCTTAGGAGAAAGAAGGCGTTGGACACCTACTCAAGGGATAATCCGGAAAAGTCAAACTTTCTACGACCCGATCAAAACCCGATGGACCCAGGCGGTTGGCTCGACCATAACTGATTCCAGGCGGAGCTACCGCGACTATCTAACGGCCAGTGATCAGAAAAATCGAGGGAAAAGAGGCAGATCAAAGAAACGAGAGGAATTCTGATTTGCCTTGGTCGATTTTTGAGTAGGGAGAAGAAGAAAAAAGCCGAAGAGAGAATGAGAACAGAGAAAATCGAAGTCAGCAGAGGTAGACCAATTGAATTAAAGTCAGTGTGTGTTGTTTTCTTTCCCATATCGTTTTCTACTTTCTACAGAGGATGAAGGGATGGATGGAATTAAATGAGGGAGACAGAGGGGAGAGGGTTGGCACTTTAGGTTTTGTGAAAAATGGATTAGGGTTTCTAATTAGCTTTAAATAGATTATATAGAATAAGCCTGTAAGAATTTGGGCTTGGGCATTTAGTGTGGGTTGTGGGTAGCTATAGGGTTTTTTTTTAATAAAAATTGTAAGGGTTAATATGTTATCATATGGTATTTGTTAATAAATTATATTTCAGTTATCGATTTACCAAATTACTATAATATATACATATATTGTTTTATATTTGGCTAAACCAGGCTTAGTCCCGTTGCTCGTTAGAAAATTTTCTGTTTGATGGAGGGAGTCATTGAAAACTAGAATGAGGTGCCAATAACCTCAACTTGAGCGTGCGCCTGTTATTTCCGCCTCAATTCCTCTTTATGTCTTATGTGCACTTATTAAGGCATGAGTGTTTATTTTTTGTGAAAAACAGATGAAATACTTGAATGAGGCGCGCACCTCATTTGCTTCATGAGAAGATTGAGAACTAATTGAGTGTCTGATTCCCGTGAAAATCATATAATATACTTGAATGAGGTGCATGCCTCATTGGCTTCATAAGAAGATTGAGAAAAAGTTCTCAATCAACGATATTTTGATAAATATTTTTAAAATTTATAATATTTTAATAAAAACCCCAATATTAGTTTAAAATATGTTTTAAACTTGTAAACTTAAATGTTTGGTCACTCAAATTAGATAAATCTTTCACGTTTGCCACTCGAATTACTTTTCTTTCTTATTAGCCACTAACTTTACAAATCGTTTCATTGTTAGTCACCGGCCGTTAGTCTCTGTTAACTCTGTTAGTTTTTTATCGTGCCAAACGATACTGCTGACTTTACCATTAACTTAGTGACACATCATTTTAAAAAAAAAAGTAAAAATAATTAATTAACCACCGCAGACTCATCCTCTTGCTCTGTGCCTCGTGAGCTGCTTCAGCCGTGGACTTCTCCGCCTCCGCAACAATGGATTCAGCATCTTTGCTCTAGCGATGCTGGTGGACCACGAATCGGGCTCTCACACGATGGTTCTGGCATGGACGATGGGGTATTTAGCCCTAAGTGTGTCATGACAGGGAGGCAACGACAATGAATTAGACGTCTATAGCTTCGGAGTGGTGGCTCATGGAAATAGCGTGCGGGAGGAGGCTGGGAGCCCAATTTGTGAAGCGGTGGACTTGAGGAAAGTTATGCTAATGGAATGGGTTTGGGGTTTGTACGAAAACGATCATATTCTTGAAGCGGTGGACTTGAGGTTGGCAGTCGGCGATGAGAAGTTCGATCGGGATCAGGCGGAGCAATTGATGATTGTGGGGCAGTGTTAATGCCATCCGAACGAGGCAAATCGATCATCGATCAGGAAAGTGATTAGTGTGCTCAACTCTGAAAAACTCTCTAGGGAAGTCGAAATCGTAATCGCTCGATCGTTTGTCAAAGAAGACGGACTATCTCACCTCAAACGGCGTTATAGGAATAAGCGCAAGCGAGGGGAAGCGAGAGCGTTGGAGGAGCTCGGGCTCTCGAATCCCCGGTGGTCGTCAGCTCGTTGGCGGGTCCTGAAGTAGAATCAGAAACAGATTTGTCTTTGCATAAACTGTGGGATTGGCATCAATTTGAATGTGGAGTTTAGTCCTTGCTTATTACGTGGTGGGGGGAGAGGGGAACGAGGTTATGGGTGTGTGTGTGTGTCAGAAGGTGATGATAAAGCTGTTTGGCTTTTCGGGGCGACCGGCGGCAGTGAAGCAAGGGAAGAGTTTGCTGGCAGTGATGAGTTTGCAGTGGCGAGTCTGCGGTGGTTAATTAATTATTTTTTTATTTATTTTTTATTTTTAGACAGTCATGGTCGAGTCTACCGCTCGTCACCTCATTAAAAAACTAACGGAGACTGACGACCGATGACTAATGATGAAACGATTCATAAAATTAGTGACAAATAAGAAAGATAAATGATTCGAGTAGGAAACGTGAAAGATTTAGGGCAAATACCCTAGTTTGGCCCGAAGTTTTGCTTAAGTGATAGTTATGGCCTCATTTTTCAAATAAGACATATATGGCATACTTTTGAAACTATTGGACAATTTTTGCCCAAAAATTTCTTTAACCGTTAATATTAACGATCAAACACTATTCCGTTAGTAACTTATCAAAAAATAGTTGATGTGGCAATAATATTAACAAATTAAGTTAATTTTGTAGTTAATTAAAATAAAAGTTAAAAAATTAAGAAAATCCCATTCTTATTATCCCAAATCCCCTAAAACCCAAAATCCAAACTCTAACCTAAATCAACATCATCGTTACAACATGAAGGAGGAATTCAATGGCGGCACTTGAAGAATGCTCGTCTGGAGGAATCCCTCCAACCATGGTTAACCACAAGCCTGTCATCTTCCCGACGAGACCGCATTTGGACTCCGATGGATCCCCCAATTGAAGACATGGGAGGCGGCAATGTTAAGCTTCCTCTCCTACTTCTCCTCATATTTCTCACTCTCTGCCTCGCTGCTGCTCTGCTATTAATACTAACACTAGTCTCCCCCAAATCCTCTTACTCTACTCAGCTCCAGCTATCTGCGGCCAACGCAGTAGAGAGTGGCGACGGCAGCAACAACAACTCATCGCCATCGCTGTCGCGGTCTTCGCTTCCGGTCTCGCTGACCAGGCTCTCAGTGCACATTTCGAGACTTTGTTTTGCTGAACGAGGAGGCATAGCACTTCATTACGTTGTTGTTGTTGCTACTACTTGGGGCCAAAGTAAATGCTTCTTGGTCTCTGTTAATTTCTATGGTTTCTTTCGTGGCCATGCATTGTCGGAAGCTAAACCCACCAGCATTCTTATTGGGGGTTTGTCGACCAACCTGGCGGACTCCACACAGGATTGGATGCCCTAATGGTAACTAGAAGGGGAAACAGACAACATTTTTTTGTCCTGAAATAGACCAGATTTGCTCTGTTGTTAAGTGGAGTTTTTGTTATGGTTTCTGGGATTTGAATAGAGGAAACTTAGGTTCGAATAAAAGTGAGATTAGTTTCAAGGAAAACCCAGTCGTTATGTTCTGGGTTGGATTTTGGTTTGGGAAAGGAGAAGAAGAGAAATTGGGCAGTGAAAATGGTGGAGAGAAAATAGGGGGAAATAAGGAAAATAGTGGGTGGCACGAAGGATAAGTGGGAGAGGGTGGAGATTTTTTTTAATTTGTATTTTAATTGAATTAAAAAATTAAAAAAATCTTATTTAATGACGTGGCATGCCACATTGTTGTTTTTTGCTAGTCAATAACAAAGTAGTGTTTGATCGTCAATATTAACGGTCAAAGAAAATTTCGGGCCAAATTTGTCTAATAGTTTCAAAAGTAGGTCATAAATATCTTCTTTGAAAAATAGGGCCAGATTAATGTTTCAGAACCGAATCGGAGCATGACCCGGTAATGCGAACGGCTGGCATTTTAGTGCTCCAACCGGCATTAGACCGTTTAAAACCCGTTAGAGAACCAGTACCTAATAAACGTTATCAGTATAAATAGTGGACATTTCTTAATCAGAGCTTGTCTCTTTCCTTCGAAATTGTGAAATGGAAATAAGGATTCAGTTTGAGAGGCCGACGTTTTTTGTTTATTTCAATTTTCAATGTTCTGCAATTTTTTTAATTAAATTTAACGGCTGAATGGCAAAAACCGGACGAGCGGCTCGAGCAGTTAACCGCCTCGATCGCTCGCCAACTGCTACATAAAACCGAAGCGACTTTTAAACTATTTCAAGCCGATTTTATGCAGGTGGCGATTTCACCGGTCAGGCCGATCGAATTTATATATTACCAATTTCCGTAATTTGCGTGATGTAATTTAGCCCCTCACTAATATGTAGTCACTACCACTCACTGCATTCTCACTGTTTGCCAACGGCCAACGACAGCGACCGTAGCTGTGGAGGAATCCTGTCCGCACCTCGTTTATCTTTACATCCCTACCCTCCTACATAAACACAAACCTAAGCCCTTTTTAGTCATTCCAGTCCTTATCCTTCTTTCTTTATGTCTTCTTCGAACTCATTAACCCATCTTCCATCCTTCGCCCCGCCGCCTTCCCTCTTCCTTCCTGCAAACATCCATTAGGCATTAGCATTGGTACCCATCTTCTGCATGTCAACAATGGCCGCCGCCGCCTCCTCCGCCGCAATCCCCAATCCCTCCTCCGCCTTCTCCACTGCTTCCTCCACCACCAGATCTCCTCTCTCCATCCTCCGCCCGTCATTCTCTTTTCCCCTCCGTCCATCTCCTCGCCAATCACTCCAAATCTCCTGCTCCACCAACTCGAAATCCACCGCTGCGGCTTCTCCCTCCGTCACCACCATAGATCCTTCGCTTTCGATCCCTAGATTTTCCCCCGACGAGCCCCGGAAGGGTGCCGACATCCTCGTGGAAGCTCTCGAGCGCGAGGGAGTCACCGATGTGTTCGCCTACCCGGGCGGTGCTTCCATGGAGATCCACCAGGCTCTCACTCGCTCCAGAACCATCCGAAACGTCCTTCCCCGCCACGAGCAAGGCGGAGTTTTCGCCGCCGAAGGCTACGCTCGTTCCTCCGGCAAGCCTGGCGTCTGCATCGCCACCTCCGGCCCCGGGGCCACCAATCTCGTCAGCGGCCTCGCCGACGCGCTCCTCGACAGTGTCCCACTCGTCGCCATTACCGGCCAGGTGCCGCGCCGCATGATTGGAACCGACGCATTTCAGGAGACTCCGATTGTTGAGGTAACTCGATCCATTACCAAGCACAATTATCTGGTTCTCGATGTGGATGACATTCCTAGGGTTGTGAAAGAGGCGTTCCATTTGGCTACTTCTGGCCGCCCTGGCCCTGTTTTGATTGACATTCCTAAGGATATTCAGCAGCAGCTAGCTGTTCCTGACTGGGAGTGTGAGATGAAGTTGCCTGGTTACTTGGCTAGGTTGCCTAAGCCGCCTTGCCAGTCGAATTTGGAGGTCATTACTAGGTTCATTTCAGAGTCCAAGAAGCCTGTGTTGTACGTGGGAGGAGGGTGTTTGAATTCGAGCCAAGAGTTGAGCAAGTTCGTTGAGCTAACTGGGATTCCTGTGGCCAGCACTTTAATGGGGCTTGGAGCTTTCCCGGTATCGGATGAGCTGTCATTGTCAATGCTTGGGATGCATGGAACTGTCTATGCAAATTATGCGGTGGAACACAGTGATTTGTTGCTTGCTTTTGGAGTGAGGTTTGATGATCGCGTGACAGGGAAGCTCGAAGCTTTTGCAAGCAGAGCCAAGATTGTTCACATTGATATCGATCCAGCTGAGATTGGTAAGAATAAGCAGCCTCACGCGTCGGTGTGTGGAGATGTGAAGTTAGCATTGCAGGGTATTAATGAGCTCTTGGAAAGCAAGGACTCTAAGAGTAAGCTGGATTTCAAGGCCTGGAGAGTGGAGTTGAATGAACAGAAAATGAAGTATCCATTGACATACAAGACATTTGGAGAAGCGATTCCACCTCAGCATGCCATCCAGGTTCTTGATGAATTAACTAATGGGGAAGCAATAATTAGCACAGGGGTTGGTCAGCATCAGATGTGGGCTGCTCAGCACTACAAGTACAAGAAACCACGGCAGTGGTTGACTTCTGCTGGACTTGGAGCGATGGGTTTCGGTTTGCCTGCTGCTATGGGTGCTGCTGTTGCCAATCCAGGGGCTGTTGTCGTGGATATTGATGGTGACGGAAGCTTTATAATGAATGTGCAAGAGTTGGCTACAATTCGAGTGGAGAATTTGCCAGTGAAGATCATGCTTCTGAACAATCAGCACCTGGGTATGGTTGTACAGTGGGAAGATCGGTTCTATAAAGCTAACAGAGCTCATACATATCTAGGTGACCCGTCGAGGGAATCCGAGATATTCCCCAACATGTTGAAGTTTGCTGAAGCTTGCGGAATTCCAGCATCTCGGGTAACAAGAATTGCAGATCTCAGAGCGGCAATACAAAAAATGCTGGACACACCGGGACCTTACTTGTTGGATGTGATTGTGCCTCATCAGGAGCATGTTCTGCCCATGATTCCGAGTGGCGGTTCATTCAAAGATGTGATCACTGAGGGTGATGGAAGAACGAAATACTAAAAATGCTGAGCATAATTAATGAAGTTTCGTAGAGGCATCTTGTGTTCGTTAGTTGTCATTGAACATGTAGTACTACGACAAGTTCTGTTGTTTAATCCAAGTTCGAATTGGTTCTTTTTGACAATTTGGTTTGCTGCTTATTCATATAGTTCTTGTTTGGTTGCTTCTGCACGTATTGTTTCCGAGCTTCTTCCCCACGCACCATCTGAGAAATAATTAACATCTATCGTCTCCTTTTCCCTTTTCCGAACAATTTTTTACTACAGAAATGGTCTAAGATTGCATCTGCCCGTGCCGGTGAGCTTTGATCTCCAATGGATCGGATAAAGGACCGCCAGCCGAGTAAGTGGAAAAATCCCTTTGTTGTGTTGTGCTTGCCCTTCCTCCTGAAACATTATCTGAACTACGATCAAAAGCCGTCGGCGCCAATAGGACCTTTAGATTCAAATGATATTCAATTTTTTTTCTTCCAGTATTTATAAGATTCACAAAACAAAAAACCAGTTCATATCATACTTGGTTCGATGCAGCCCGGTCCAAGCATCGGTTTGATCCGGACCGTTACACACCCCTAACCAACATCACCCATTTAGCATGCTAAACGACCTCATACAACCTGCCCCAGAAGCTAAACGACTACAAGTCCTCTACCACTGGGGAATACAAGAAATGAAACAATCAGCTGAGATGGGAGAAGCGCACAAACAGACGGCTCCTACCAGAACCAAGCGACAGGCTATCTCCTGATGTACAATAGAACAACCAACAACTAGACCTGCAACTCTATCCACAATTTTCTCTAGATTTAGATTCAGCTACAGGGTCATCAGGGCAAGGTTGCATTCTGAGTTTTCACAAACGTATAAGATCCCGCTTTCGATATGCCAGCTCTAACTCTTCTGGCTAAGATGTCAACTCGCTGCTCAGCTAAAGATCGCTTCAGTTCTTCTAGTTCTCCATATTCTTTCTCCATAATCACCTCCAATTCATCCAAATCCATCGTCTTACACTGCAGTTTCTTCAACTAATATTCAAGATTCAGTGAAAACGGGCAGATTAGAAGCTTTTAATGAAAAGTAGGAAAAAAATGGATACAGGATAAGGTCTCCCCCTTGCAGTACCTGTGTCTCAATGATGGTTCCAACTAAAGTTTCAATCTCCCGGTCTTCCTCATTGGCCAATAATTTGGCATGAGCAGAAGCTGCCCCAAGTGCAGCTGCAACTGTAGCTCGAAGCCTCAAAGTTAACGGTACATTATTCTGGGATAAGTTTGTCTCCCGATCTTCTGAGGAATATACCAGCACATTAGGAAAACATCGGAATTGACAAGGTCAAGCATTTGCCTAAACAGGCTTTTAACAAGAGAATGGAGAATCCAAAACCGCAAGCAAAAATGTAGACAGTGAAACGGGTGTGATAACATTGACAAAACCAGATCCTTCCCCTTGTCAGATCCATGGTTGTGCTAAAATCCGTATATTTGTCAGTTGATGTTATTTGTCTTTATTACATTCTACCATATAATATGCATTTGCAAAACGTTGTTTGGTTTGCTATATTCATGCAGGAACTTGTCCCGGAAAACTGAGGGAAGTAACATGTTGGACTTACTTTTGTACATATACTTCCTACTCCAACTATTTCCGATTACATCATTTTGATGTATTTCAGATTGCATGTGTAATTTCAAATGCACTCAAATACATCAAAAGTATCAACAGAAGACAATATGTATAATTCACATGTTATAGTAAATATCACCCAGCACAACAATCTGAGAGTTTGAAGTTAACTCCCAATTTACCTGATTGTACATCCCCTCCCTGCTCTATATCTTCATCCTTATGCGCCCTAAAACAAAGAAATTGAGGAAAAAACTTCAAAATGTTGCTAGAGTAAACAAGCAACACAATCAGTCCAAGCATGCGTAATTGTATTCAGCACAAATAAGCCACCTCTCTGACACAGACTGGTCCATGGCAGGCCACAATTCATTAGCAAAGTCTTCCTCATTATTGAATGAGTCACTTGGACAAGAGGCTTCATCACAAAGTGCTGCAAAAGCAGCCTTAGCTGCAGTGGCAGTGATGTCATCCCCGACCATGCTTGAGATGCGAGCGATCTAATTAAAAGCATTTGTCAACATCAAGGCTGATATAGGAACAATACAGCATATGAATCTGATATGATTTAAAGAAATTGGAACGTGCAGGCTAGCAACATATTATTCAGACCCACAAACGTATTAAACACCAGTGTCATAAGACAGGACTCATCTATTTAATCATGCCATAATCCTCCGATAGGCTCTAAACCACATTGTTCCCCTAATAGAAATTTTTGCCAATCAAGCTTTTCCAGATACACTTCACAAGAACACATAACCAATACCCTTGCATCAAGATGGAGCACAAAATGTTCCACAGACCGAGGAATTTATTTGATGGCATCTTGTTCCATCAAAATATCATTTTACAGAAGCATTCTTTCACCACAATGTCCGAAAGAATCATCTGGTTACGTAATACCTATGTAGAGAGATAGGTGCACTCCACTTTGGAATGCATAGGTGTAGCTATCAGCATGTGAAACTAATTTCCAAAAGATATTGACTCATTAGAGCAAGAAACCATTTTAAGATCAAGATATCAATCTCGAAATAAAGGAAAATTCAAAAGTTGTACTGTATAGATGAACGATTTCCTGACTTTTTGCCAGCTAGTCAAAAGCTAGATAGTAGCAACAAACATGATGCCCAAAACAGTTTCCTAGCACCATGATGAAAAGCTGGTAAATTATTCATTTGATTGTTAAATTTAAGTATTGATCTGTATAACATACCTGTCTCATGATGGAGATTCCAGATCCTGAAGAATAAGAAACACACTGTTTCTTCAGAGGGGGGACTTTGTCAGCATCATCTCCTCTCTGCTCATTACCATTAGCCTGCTGGGACATTACATTTTCAGATTTGATCATATCTTGTTGCTCTGGTAGAGATGGAAAGACATCTTTTCCACCGTCTCCATTACCGCTTAGTCCACTGGCAGGGTCCTTTCCAAGATTGTAACTTGAAATAAACTCTCCAAAAGGTAGCTCAATAAGCTTGGAAATACATTCCAGTTTAGTCTTGGATTTCACAGTTTGAGCGACTATGTCCCAGTCATCTCCGTGCCTCGAAACAGACTCTAAGAGAAGTAAAGTCTCAGCCTCTGTCCAGGCATCCCTTTGCTTACCGTCACTGACACTGCTGCCATGAAGCTTGAAATCATCAACAGACTTGTTTCCATACTTTCCATCTTTGAAGCATTTGACACAGAGAACATAGCTATCCTGCAAACAATTCAAATAAATAAGATGCTCTCCATCACGGAGTTTAAAAGTACTGAAAGCCGAACACTTCAAACCACAGGTCTATGCTATTTATTGATCAGACGTTCCACTCAAGCAAAGCATTCAAGAAGAGCAGAAAGCAGGAGGCAAATTCAACTGCATGTAAGTAATGGACATTAAATGAAATGGAATTTCAAACACTACCCCGTGATGGAGCTACATTTCGAAAGATTACCAAAGCCCAAAGTACCTTATCGTGCTGATATCGGCCGGACTCACAATTTCCACCGCAACTCCCACACAAAATTCCCTTGCGCTTACCCAACTCACCAAAAACGTCAGAGTAGGACGCCAATGGCGACAGCTTCGAGCGGCGGACATCAGCGCCAAGAGGGGCCCCGGCGTGCGATGCTGGGAACGGTTTCGACGAATTAGGGTCAGCAACAACACGAATGCCGTTGGGAGGGCCATCCTCAACCCTAACTTCGTCCTTGTACTCGTTCTCCGACTCAATTCGAGCCGAATCCGCACCGAAGTTGATCAATCCCCACTGGTTCAAGAACTGGAAGACCTTATTGAGCAGGCTGACGTCGCCGACGAGGGACTTGCGAACCTCCGTGAAGGTGAGCCTGGTGGATGGATCCTCGCGGTACCTGTTGATCATGAAATCGCGGTACTCCTTGTAGATTTTGGGACTCCTGGTGACCGAGCTTCCATCGAAGAACTCTCTCATTGCGGCTCTCTCCGTCTCGTGGATGTCGTTCCATCGAAACCAACCTCAAAGAGAAACAGTACAGAAGGGATGGGAAAAGAGAAAATTGAGCGAGCGAGCGAGCGAGCGATAAATTGGTTCTTCTAGGAAAGCAAACAGCGGGGCCGCGAAAAGAGGGCGAGGGCGAGGGCGGGAACTTACTGGAGTAGCTGGGAATGGTGTAGAGATCGAACTCTGGTTCATCTGGACGGGTCGATTCCGCTTTCGGGTCCTGCCGGGTTGTCGTCTCCATTTTGGAATAGACGGACCTGGTAGCGCGATTGAGTCCCGGTCTAGCAACCCTCACATTTACCGAGTGTTGGTAGTCTATCTAATCTAGGTTGACGCCGAATTTGCTCCCCCGGTTAAGAACTGCTTGGAAACACACGTGGCCTTTTTCATCTCAACATTTATTAAGGTCGCTCGGGCCCAATATGGCCCGGTGGCGAGAATATATTTTTTGCCTATCTTTTTCAATCCGCTTTTATCTTCTTGATATTAACTAGTACAGGGCTCGGCACATTGGTCGGGAAAAATTTGTCGAGTAATATGGTATACAATAATTGATATAATACATGATTTTGTTGGGATTTTTAGTGGTGTGAATGGAAATAAAAAGGGAAAGTTTCAAAAGAGTCTCTTGAAGTACCATGTTGGTAAGATGTGGGAAGGCACGGCCTCGAATTCGATCGATTTGATGTAATATGTGGTTAATCGGTTAAATTGGTTTGTGTACCAAACGGACCAAACCAAACCGAGTTGAACCAAATCGATGTGGTGGTTGGAATAACCAAACCGGTCCAACTACCATGGGCCGAACCGATGCAATTATTCATTATTTCAAACATGAACCAATGTGTTGGTTGGGGTGTAACCACCCATATGAAGAGTCGCCTCCCTTCGTACGCACCCCTTCATTTTCTATAAATAGCACCTAACCCCCTCTGGTTTTACACCGATTTTTCCCGGTACCAAAATTCTGTCAAAATCCAAAACTAGTATTCTTCATTCTTTTTCAAAGAGAAAAACGAGTCAAGTGTGGTTCTCGCCGGTTCGCTGCGTTCGATGGGTTCCGGGGTTTGAGGTACCGCTACGCCGGAAAAGGTACGTCCTTTCTATCCCGGGAGGAATCATTCCATAACCTTGGGTACTAGAGGGGAATAAGATTCCTTAAGGAGAGATAGTGAATTCTATTGGCTAGGACGCTTGCATGTGTCTTTGCATGTTTTTCTTAATCTTTGTGTTTGCTTGTGTTGCAAGAAAATAGTATATGTGAACAATTTTCCCAACAATCTTAAGGAATCTTATATTTGTTATAACGTGTACTGTTGGGCATGTGACTCGGACCTAGCCGCGCCAGAGGAACGCACCGACACTACCCCAGATGCCGCCAAATCCGTCAGGACGCGACGCGACCGAAGACCTCCAGCGCGGTCCAGCGCGAAGACCCCAGCGCGGCTCAGCGCGGAGACCTCGAGCGCGGCACAGGCTACGCTCACGTGGAAAGATCAAAGCGTGGACCAAACCAAAGAGCCGTAGAAAGCGTCATCGCACTTCCCGAGGGGTAGTCACATCAGGGTCCTAGATACAGTCATAGGTAAGCCTCTGACATGTCATAGGTAGAGACATGGCCTAAATCCCTGACATGTCAGTGGTCATGTCATTGTCCCATCATGTAACTCAACCACTCACCCACCACCATGTAGCCTATAAACATGGCATTTACTCCGGTGGGTGAGAGGATGACATTTTTCAGACTCTATCTCTAAAAACATCAACTTCTCTCCCTAAAGACTCATTCTCTCACCCCTGTCTCCCAAGATCTTGGTTCTACGTCATACAGTCGATTTTCCTTGCTTACCTCCCTTGACCCCCTTTCTTTCCCGAACCTCACTCCTACACTCAGTTAGGTTCAAACAATTGGCGCCCATCGTGGGGCCAAGTAGAGAAGCAAAGAGAAACAACCAATGGCTGAACATAATCCCAACTTACCTGATGAAGCAACACCCATCAAAGCAATGACTAACCCAAGAACGTTCGCGGAAACCAGCAACCTCAACGCGGTGCTCATCGAAGAAGAAGAGCCTGAGCTGACCGCCAAGGAAATGAGGCACCTAATGGCGAAGCAGAATAACGTCATAGCCGATATGCAAAAGCAAATGAGCCAAGTCATAGCGCTCATGATGAGCAAAGAAGCCGCGACTATAGTGGAGGCGACACCAAGCGCGCCACTGCAAGCACCTGGTGAAGCGATAGGAATCGCCCCGCCACCACCCTCCCCACCTGTGTGTGAAGCGCAACAAGCCGAGCCGCCGGGTAGGGCAGACCTCAGCTTCCTGGAGCAACACTTATCCCCGCAATACCGCTCCAACCCACCCAAAAAGGCGCTCCACCAACCGCTAAGCGCGGAAATCATGGCGGAACACCTGAGCGGAATGCCACTCACCCTCCCCACGTATAACGGAACGACCGATCCTGAAGACCACGTGAGCACCTTCTGCTTGCGCATGCAACTCCAAACAAATTCCAACGCGGCACTATGCAGAACCTTCCCGTCAACATTCTCCGGAATATGCCTCGATTGGTAAAACAGACTCCCAAACGGAATCATCCGCTCGTTCGAAGAGTTCATACTCTTGTTCACAACAAAGTTCGCGTCCCAGAAAAGATCAATTGGCCCGCGCCCTTGAAGGCCCCGCTACACATGCGCGACCCGAAGAAGCATTGCGACTTCCACAGAGAAACGGGCCACTGGACGGAAGATTGCAGGGAGTTACGGTACGAAATCGAAGGCCTCATACGAAGAGGGTTACTCACGGAATTCATCCGTGGAGCGGAGAGCCAACCAGAACAGCTAGGAAATCTACCACCACCCCCGCAAGCCGACTACAATGAGGCTACTGGCTCATATGTAGTACGCAAAGAAATAGGGGTGGTGACAGTGGAAGGAGATCGCCCGAAGAAAAAAACCAAGCGCGAACGCGCGATTGAATTCGCAGCGGCGGACGAACAAACAAGGGGCCAGCTGAGCTTCGACGACACCGAATTACCGCAGGGAATTCCGTCAGAAGATCCGCTCACCATCACCGCTCTAGTGGCCGCCTGCAAAATACACCGCCTACTGATAGATGGAGGTGCCGCAGCAGACATCCTTTTTAAAAGCACTATCGACCAAATGGACATTGATCCGCGCTTAATCAAGCGCGCCCAAGGGAACTTGGTCGGCTTCTCTGGAACGAGAGTCCCAGTGATTGGTGTGGTAACTCTTCCTGTTGTTATCGGAGACCAAGAACCGCGCGTCTCAAAGCAAGTCGAGTTCACAATAGTCGACTGCAGCTCTTCCCACAACGGCATCTTAGGCCGACCATTCCTAGCAAAATTCATGGCCCTTCCATCCACATGCCACCAGAAGCTTAAGTTCCCCCACCAAGATGGGAACTGGAGAGGCGCGCGGGACGCCATGGGGAGTCCCAAAGCTCGAAGGAGAGGCCCGGCAGACCAACATTGTCGACACAAGGCCAGAGGAACCCCGCCCGGAATCGATGGATTCCGATTTTGAAGTCGCGCTCGACCCAACCGAGCCGACTAGGAAAATATGCATCTCGACTCACGTCCGCGACGACGCGATTGAGCCGTTGATAGCGTTACTAAAGGAATATAAGGAGCTATTTTCCTAGTGCACAGAAGACATGCCGGGGGTACCAAGGCATGTAGCCCAACATTGCCTCGCAGTCCCGCCTAGCGCGCCTCCGAGGCAACAAGCGCGACGTAGCTTCACTGGCGACAAACTGAAAGCCATCAAAGAGGAGGTGGCACGACTTTGGCGGCAAGGTTGATCCGCCCGGTCAAATACCCAAAGTGGTTGGCAAACGTGGTCCTGGTGAAAAAGTCTTCAGGGGCCTGGCGGATGTGCGTCGACTACACAACAATCAACAAAGTGTGCCCGGGAGACCCTTACCCCTTGCCGCGCATTGACCAACTGATCGACGCCACTGCCGACCACGAGACACTGTCTTTCCTAGACATGTTCTCAGGATACCAGCAAATCCCAATGTCGCGCGAAGATGAGGAAAAAACGGCTTTCATGACTCCCTTCGGAAACTTCTGTTTCGTTGGAATGCCGTTCGGAATGAAGAACGCGAGCGCGACATACCAAAGAATGATCGATTCAGTGTTCTCACAACAGAGGGGGCGGAACATCGAGGCATATGTAGATGACCTCATCGTTAAAACTAATGCTGGCAACTCGCATCTGGAAGATCTGCGCGAGACATTCGAGGCGCTCCGCAAACACAGCCTCCGCTTAAACCCACTGAAGTGTGTTTTTGGAGTAGAAGCAGGGAAGTTTCTTGGCTTCATGATAACCAAGCGCGGCATCGAGGTTGACCCGAAGCAGATCACCGCGGTACAACAACTGCGGGCGCCAAGAAGCGCATTGGAGATTCAATCTCTGAACGGCAAGATAGCGGCATTAGGAAGGTTCATACCAAGGTCAGCTGACAAGTGCGCGCCTTTCTTCAGGACGCTCAAAAATGGCACACGATTCGCGTGGTCCAAGGAGTGCGTAGAGGCCTTCCAAGAGCTTAAAGCGTATCTTGTATCCCCCCTGTACTGTCTGCTCCCAAACTTAATGAAAAGCTCTTCCTGTATCTGGCTGTGTCAACGAGAGCTGTGAGCGCAGTGCTAATATCCATATGAGATGGCCAAAACGAACGCCCAGTGTATTACACTTCGCGAACACTAGTCAGCGCGGAAACAAGATACTCCCCAATAGAGAAAGCCGCCTTAGCGTTGGTTAGCGCATCGCAGAAGTTACGCCCCTATTTCCAAGCGCACCAAATCATCGTCCTGACCAATCTTCCATTAAAAAAGATCCTAACCTCAATGGAAGTGTTAGAGCGGATGGTCAAATGGGCGGTCGAGCTGTCAGAGTACGACATCCAATACGCGCCAAGGCCAGCAATAAAGGCGCAAATTTTAGCGGACTTCATCGCTGAAGGGGTCACTCTCGAGACAACACCAGAAGGAGTATGGGAGGTATACGTAGATGGCCCAGCAAGCAAACACAACGCCGGCGCGGGTGTCGTCGTGCGCACTCCCACAGGCGTCGTCCACGAAATAGCAATCAGGTTTAGAACGTTGAAGACAAATAACGAGGCCGAATACGAAGCCATCCTAGCAGGAATGACCGCCGCCAACGACCTAGGTGCTAGAACGATTAGAGTGCTCTCCGACTCCTCACTCGCAGTAAACCATTTGAACGGTAGCTTCGATGCTAAGGAAGACACACTCGCGCAATACGTGGAACGTGTCAAACAACGAGCGAGTACCTTCGAGACG